GTTTGTTAGGTCAAACGAATATTGGCATCCGAAACTTGCGGGGTTATTTGGTTATGTTATCTCAAACTTATGTCAAAACAATGAATATGTTATGTGGCAGCTTGTCAACTTGCTTCTTATTCGTTTCTTTGAGTTGCAGCAGCACTGCCAGCGAGATTAAGTACCAACTGGTTCGGGAACCGGCAGTCCCGGCGTATCTGGATGCCGATGGCAATTTTTCGTAATCGATTAGTTAAAATAGTGCATAACCGTATTATGAAAGACGAAAAACTAATCATTGGCTTATCAAATTCTCTATTTGGCAGTGAAAAAAACTCAACAAAAGACGGGCGCGACACGTTTCGATTCAACCATCCAGGTACCACGGGCAGGCGGCGGGCGCAGCGGCCATGTGGTGTGGCTGCTTGGGCGGTATATTTGGTCCAGCCGCGCCACGGAACAGGACGCGGCACTGCCGCGACAAGGTCGGTGGCGCGGCAGGACCAGCCACGTCATCGGTCCCCTAGTCCGACCCTCGCCACATCAGCCCTCTACCGCGTCACCATGCATGGCGCGGCGCAGGCATTTGGCCGCGCCATGGCAATAGGCACGGCCAAAAGTGTTAGTTTAAAAAAATCCGATAGCGTTAGATTTAAAATTACATTAAAAAAAGGGTTAAAATAAAAAAATCGCAATCCGAGCCGTGGGCATGGTAAATGGCTTGAGATTCAGGCCTTGTTTAGTTGGGTGAAAGTTGGGAATTTGGCTACTGTAGTACTTTCGTTTTTATTTGGCAATTATTGTTCAATCATGGACTAATTAGGCTCAAAACGTTCGTCTCGTGATTTCCAACCAAACTGTGCAATTAGTTTTTTTAATCTATATTTAATACTCCATGCATATATCGTAAGATTCGATATAATAATTACCCTAGTATTTTTTGAGAAAAGTTTCTAGAACTAAACGTGGCCTCAAGCTTGGATTTCACTGGATAGGCTAGTCGACTTTTGCGAGCAAACTTGGGCAGTGATTGGCATGTGACTTTTGAGTGACAGGTAAATCCAGCCAATTAATTGGAGCTTAGCCATTAATCTGGAACTAGGAACTGGTATAGTGTACTACTTTGCACACAAACAATGGTGGTTGGTTGGTTCGTTAATCTTGCATGCGACTGAACCTACCCTACATGTGATGTGTAGTAGTAATTTGTTGGTCGTTTCCAGCTGGAAGTGGAAAGCTTAACACTAACCTGCCGATGAGTTGACTGTGCACACTAGGGCCCTCTTTGCTTGGGCTTCTTTAGCTAATAAGCCATAATTAAAAATATTATTGACTGATTTGATGTGAGAGAAAAATATTATTTGTTGACTGAAAAAAATATAGCTTACAAACCTAATAAGGTCAAACAAATTGACAAGTTTAACATGTGTGTGCCTGCCTGCCTCTCGATGAAATAACGGCCACATGGCCGTGGCAACTTTTTCCCACGGCGGCACGAGACGAGGCGACGAATTCACACTTGGCGGCACACACACCCTACCCTACCAACTGCATTACGGGCATACGGCAGAGATTATTAGCACTAGATTACTGTACCACCACACCTCAATGCTGCTACGAATCTACGATTACTAGAAGGGGTAACATGCGTCGGAGGTCGGACTTTGATTATAGGGCCTGGCAGCTTCGCGGACTTTGGGGGCCGCGGTGGGGACGCCGGCCGGACGTACGTAGGCGATGAGACGGCGACAGGAGATGGAGGAGATCAAGCGCGTGTTTAGTTCTCACCTTAAATTTCTAAAAAAATGTTACAGTAGCCATCACATCGAATTTTACGATACGTGTATAGAGCATTAAATGTAGATGAAAAAAAATTAATTGCACAGTTTGGTTAGAAATTACGAGACGAACGTTTTAAACCTAATTAGTCCATGATTGAACGCTATTTACCAAATAAAAACAAAAAATGCTACAATAGCCAAATTTATAACTTTCACCTAACTAAAAACGCGCCAACAAGTGCCTAGCCCGTCGTGCGGCGGCGTACGGCGTCAGCACGGTAGCGACTGCTAGTGCTATCGTACGAAGCCGTGTGCCGGGCGGTGTCTGTCGCGGGTAGAGGCAGCTGGAGCTTAGCTGCACTGGACTGCAACTTGCAGCGATCGACTGCCTGCCAGTGCCCCCCCGCCACAGACCGTTTCCGTTTGCTTGCGCCCGTTTCGTCAAAGAAAAAGGGAGCCGAGGAAATCGACAGCAGCGCAGCGCGAATAGCTGATCCATCTTGGCGTCAAGTATCTTTCGGCCCGTCGTCAGCGTGTGGGAGGAGAGCTGGAAGCCATCGGGCCGCGACAGGGGATGGGCACGAGCATGCCCGGAAGCTTCGTGCCACGAGCAGGGACACTGTTCGTTCTTCTTCAGGTTATCATCAAAAGGAGAATAAACGAAAAAAACAAAAAAAGGCTTGTTTTTTTTCTTTCTTTCAGGATTTTCCTTTCGGGAAAAGTTTTTTCTAGTACATGTGCTAGGGTGCTGGTGTTGTTTGTCAGACTGTCTCCAACCGCCCGTACCCAAATACCGGACGCATTCGTTGTTATAGGTCACGCACGGGGAAAAGGTCACGTACCCAAAACTTCACGTCTCCAACAACGGACGCAACGCTCCATCGCAGGCGGACCTCGCCGGCGGGATCCTCCCTCACCGGCGAGCTCGGCCCGCGCGGGCGAGCTCGGCCCCGGCGACGGTCGTCCCCTAGCTCCGCCCTGGCTCCGGTCGTCCCCGAGCTCGTGGTGGTGGGACCCGCCTGCGTGGAGGAGACGCAAAGGAAACGAGAGAGGACGCAAGTTTGTGTACCGTGTTTTGTCGGACGCAAAATGGTTGCTGTGTTTGGATACTCCGTTGAAGATTGATTTTTCCCCACAAAAGCACTATGCACTATGTAAAATATGGATAGGTCACGGTTTGGGTACTCCGTTGGAGACAGTCTCGTGATCCCACACTATCGGTTTGGTTCTCCGTACAAAAGAGCTCTCGATTCGCCCCCAAAAATGCACGAGCCTTGTCTCACTTTGCGCCGGACTGTCACGCTGGTCTGACGCGCTCGTCAGCCGAGACAAGCTGGGGCTGTGTTGCGTGTGAACCCTGGCCAAGGAAGGAACGATCTTGCTGTCCGCTTCAAACCGCGGTTCCAGTTACAACTCACGCCCACAAATCTGTGTGTTCAACTGTTCTGTCCATGATCGACGTTCAGTTTTCAGCGTGGCTTTGGACCTTTCCTGCACACCCTCTGTTTTCCTACTACGCAACCGCATCCATCACCTGTTCGCTTGATCGTTTTAATGGTTTATAAGCCGGCTGATGTTGTTTTTGTTTTGAGAGAAAAACACTGTATCATAACTGATAAGCATGGCTGATACGATCAAGCGCATATGAATATGATGCAGTGGAACTCCATTCCACAATCTCCTCGTCGTCGCCTCAAAAAAAAAAGAGCATGTCCTCTAATAATTGCGGCTCAACTTAAAATTGGAATGTAAAGTTATTCATTCACTCTCTTTCATTATTTGCGTTTGCATGAGGGCAGTGCACATGGGGGGCAGAAGAAGGGTCGGCACAAAGCCACGGTACAACAGTTTTGGCCGTGCCTGTTACGCTTACGCATCATCAGCAATCAAGCTGCCGACATGGGTAGATCAATCACGCAGATGAACACTAGTCCTCCTGACACCAATGTCGTTTATTTAGGGTGTGTTTAGTTCGCGAAATGAAAATTTTTGGATGTCACATCAGATGTTTTGTGGAGGTCGGAAGGGGTTTTCGGATACTAATAAAAAAACTAATTACATAGCTCGCCTGAAAACTACGAGACGAATTTATTAAGCCTAATTAATCCATCATTAGCGCATGTTGGTACTGTAGCACTTATGGCTAATCATGGCCTAATTAGGCTTAAAACATTCGTCTCGCGATTTGCAATCAAACTGTGTAAGTAGTTTTTTTTCATCTATATTTAATACTCCATACATGTACTACAAGATTTGATATGACACTTTGAGATGAAATTTTTTTGGAACTAAACAGAAACAGGGCAAGGCATGGACGGTAGTACGAGAGATACGACTTGCATTGGGGCGACAGGCCTCAACTCAACATGCCCGCTATTAGTTGAGAACTCCATCTGATGTCTTCTCGATGACGAAAGTGTCCCAAAAACATTTCCCCGACTGTTTCCGTCAGGCGTTGGCAACTGATGTTTCCGACCAGTGTCGGCTCTTGCTGCAAACCAATGCGGCACTCACCACTAAGCCGCGCTTCCACTCTGAAGTTTGAAGTGTTCCATACAATCGTTTGGACTGCATGTTCAGAAACCTGATCTAACAACTGCAGCGCTGGTCTGGAACACACCTTTTTTGTGTGTGTAGAACGTCTGCGACACACATTGGAGATATCGAGCAACAAGCCCGAACACCAGCTTACACAACACAGCTGTTACTGTTAGTCTTCCCACAACAAACGACATTCACACCCACTCCGGCCCAAACACGGCGACATCAGAGCACCGGTGGCGAGATGAAGATGGGCTTCAACTCGTTGCTCGCTCTGGTGGCTTGGCATCCGTGGAAAGAGCGCAACAAAAAGGCACAATTCTCTTGGGCACAGTTCTCTTGCGTTTTGGAGAAGAAAAAAGTGTCCCATGTGGGGAGAAATTATTCCAACACCCGGTTTGCTCCAGCACACGGGCGAAACCGATACAACCTCCAAATAAGAAAATATCAACAGAGATATACAGTTCACAACCCCTACGCCATACATACAGTTCTTTCATCTTTGCCTATCATCCATATCACCATATTAGACAAATCCTGATGGCTTCGGAATATTTCCTTTGACATGTTCGTGACTGAAACCCAACCAATTATTACAAACCTGTAAGCCATAGCTTTGATGCTCTTACCTACATTCAGTAAATGAGATGGGAATCCAACAATGCTACACATCATGCAACAGCACTTTCCTTTTACGAATCAGCCTTGGAACGAGCTTAGTGCTCTAATGACATGTTCGTACACTTTGATGCCCCTCAGGAATACCTTATCTTCCAGAAACTGCAGCATTTAAATAAACATTGATTTTGAGCATCACATTCTCGAACAAAGGAAAGGAAAGCGGTAGCAGCCTGGTTTCAGTTACCTCGTTATGGTCATGTAGTAGTATTGGAGTATTTGTCATTGGAGAAAACCCGAGGGCAGGAATGCCCAGCTTGCCTCACAAAGCGTGAATCTGTGGTTGAAGATAAAATCTCAGGCTTAGATAGCTTTCCTCCCGCGGAGGTGATAGCCTTCTCAAATATGGGCCACCATGGGTTTGACTCGTTTGTTGCTGTGAATATGGGACGTCCAGCCACATCTGTTACTGGACCTTTCCGTATTAGCTGTATGACAACAAGGGGTTTCAGGAAATGCAGTACTTGGTTTAGTTTCAGCTATGGAAATGACAATGAAACTAACTTTTCACCTGGTAGGTCAAGTTTTTATGAGCTGGTGCCCATTCCTCTTTGACTCTTCGTTTGATCTGTTCAATATCTTCAGTTGGAGGAAGGCGGAGATCAAAGCCAACCTCTGCTTCTGAAGGTTGCATATTCATCACAAAACCCTGCAAAAATCTGTCTTTAGAGACTACAAAAGCCACAAATAAATTGCACAGTAATGTTGAATTTGGTGCATGCCACTATCTGTAACTGGAGAACTTCTCTTAAAATAAAATAAATTGGAGACTTGTTCTTTTATGGTTTTACCTTAATGCAGATAACTGATTAAGTGCTGATCTTTTTAGTGTCATGTTTTGGAGTAAATTATGAGTGCCAATTAATTAGTGTTGTAGTACACGTGTGGTAAAATAATATTTAGTGAAATACTAAAAGAGTAAAGAGAGAGTTACAGCATTCTGAGATGGTGGTGTTCATTAATCATTACTCCATAGGCATGTTTAAGTATAGTTTTCGATCAAATGGGATGATCATAAATTCATCACACATAATCACATCGCGTTGCTGATTTTTGGAAAAAGTATGGGACTTCAACCAGAATTATCCTCGTCCTCGACATGGTTTCCTTTGCCCTTTAATTTTGTTTGTTGGTTTTGGCCTAAGAAACTTCAAAAGATACAAAGTGGTAACCTTGTTCAATTGGTTCATACCCTTGAGCTTGCTTATCAAAATCACATGTAAAACAAGTTGACCTCTACCAATTTGATAATGAGTTATATGGGATTCTTTGCACTGTCAATCCAGGCTTACTTATCCAATTAGTAAAGAAAGCGGGCAAAATCAAACACATTTTGTCATTACATTTTTTTTCCTTTTTTTTTAAAAAAAAAGCATTTTTCCCATGTGCCTTATTTGTTGCATGCAATGAACAGATGCAGATCCAATGATACTTGAACAATAAGAATATAACTAAAAATTGCATGATATTATTTAGTCTTGCAAAGAAGCAAATAGAGGGATGAAAATGGACAATTAGAAAACCAGGGGACCAAAAACAGGAAGAATGGTCTAAGGATCAAATAGGATAACGAAGCAGAGGTCAAGAACAATTCCACATTTGTTTGCGACTAATTTCAATCAACAACAACAACAACAAAGCATTTAAGTCCCAAACAAGTTGGGGTAGGCTAGAGTTGAAACCCAGCAGAAGCAATCAAGGTTCAGACACGTGAATAGTTGTTTTCCAAGCACTCCTATCTAAGACTAAGTCTTTGGGTATATTCCATCCTTTCAAGTCTCCTTTTATTGCCTCTACCCAAGTCAGCTTCGGTCTTCCTCTGCCTCTCTTCACGTTACTATCCTGGCTTAGGATTCCACTACGCACCGGTGCCTCTAGAGGTCTCCGTTGGACATGTCCAAACCATCTCAACAGGTGTTGCGACTAATTTCAATATCATACACTATTAAGGTCTGAAAGGAAGATACTGCCTTCCAAATTGATAATGTCCTAGAAATTGTCTGACAAATGCTGACAGCTACAATGAAGGATTCCATTATATTCATTTTTGCCAGACCTATTTAACAATTTTATCATGTTTATTGTTGTGTAGGTTGTAGAGAGTATTTGCATAACTTTACATCATAGCTTGCATGTTCTCTCCGATCAAGAATGAAAAACTTTTTATAGTATAGTAATTTAATCCTATAATATATTATGTTTGAGTAAGTTGCACCCATCATACAACTAGGGAAGGCCAGTTATTCATTTGCTTAGTGGTTTTAAGGTATGCAGTTGACCTGTTGTATATCTACAGCACAGCATGATTATAAAATCACTAACATGTAAAATCACATGTAAATGTTATAAGCCTGGTGGTTGCGTGCACAACAACAGGTTCCCAGGCAGTTCTGGAAGGGTTTCAATTCGTTATTTATTTTGGTTGTGTAGTGGTTGCAGAAACACAGCATTCGGAACGATGCCAGATTGTGGTGTATGGCAGGTGCAAAACGGCTTGGTCCTTTGTGACCAAGGTTTTTCTTCATGTTCAAGGTTGTTTCCTGCTAATTTGTGGTGCCCTTTTTTTTGTATAAAAGGCCTGTATGTGTGTGGGTATGTCTACGAACTAGCAAAAGGACTAATTTTTTTCTCTCCTATTTACTACAATGATATGCTAGTTCTCCTGGATTCAAGAAAACAAAATTGCATATCAAAATATGTCTAAGCCATAGGAAACAATTTACTTTCAGTCTGCAACAGCAATCTCAAACACCAAACAGAAGTATTGAAGTAAACTTTTTGCTTACTAGCCTACTCCAGAAGCCTATAAAGTCAGGCATGGCACTATTTGGTGGAAAGTACAAACATTCAAATTGCAAAAATGTTTAGTAACGGCAGGGCACTTGTGCCCGTCAGGCCATTTCAAATTAGAATCTGATTTCGTGCACTATTGTATCGAAGCTAAATTACATAAAAACCATTGCTATACTTACCGTGGGGCTTGGTATGCCGGCCTTCATGTACACAGGATTCACCGAGACCACCTCGCCGGGACCCCTCTCCCCGGACTTCACCGTCCTGAACTGCGCATCCCTGAACCCAGCGATGGTCTCCAGGCAATCCATCAAATTGTCCACGGCAGCGCCGTCGAACATCCTCGACCCATGCCCCGGCGCCCCCGCCGCCTTCACGATGAGCCTCCACACCAGCCTATCCGCGTAAAAGACCCTGAACACATCCGTCGGCGACGCCTGCCCCTCGTCGAGCATGAACCCGATGTTGAGGGCGCGGAACTCCTCCGACTGGGCGAACTTGTCGAACCCATCCGCGCCGCCGATCTCCTCGTCGGGGACCAGCGAGATGTGGACGGTGCGGGCGGGCGCGAACCCCGCGGCCTGGAGGCCCCGGATCGCCTCGAGGTACTGGACGGGGAGGCACTTGTCGTCCTGCGCGCCGCGCGCGTAGACGCGGCCCGTGGCCGGGTCGCGGTGCCCCGCGAACGGCGGGTGCGCCCAGTGCTCGGGCTCCGCGGGCACGGAGTCGATGTGGGAGTTGAGGAGCACGGAGGGGAGGGACGGGTCGGAGCCCCGCCAGGTGAGGAGGAGGAGCGGCTTGGTCTTGCACGGGGTGAAGTGGAGCGTGGTGGTGTGGAGGCCGAGCGAAGCGGCGTAGGGTAGGAGGAAGGCGGCGGCGCCCGCGTAGTCGGGGGACGGGTGCGCCGTTCGGATGCGGAGGTATTCCTGGAAGCGGGCGACCTGGTCGGACTCGAGAGCCGTGAAGGGGTGGGCGAGACGGGGGAGGCCGGAGAGGAGGACGACGACGAAGGCGAGCAGGAGACAGCGGAGAGGCGACGGCATCGTGTGGAGTGGTGGATGCGCTGCGACTGCGAGCTGAGCTCCCAGCGAAGTGTGAGGCTTTTACATTGTATGCTTAAAAAAAAGATGCCACACTTCTGCGTATTTTTAAAAATTGGTCGTCATCTACATGTTCTCGTTTGAACTTTTCTTTTCTTTCACGCTATTTCATCGGCATTTACTTTTAACGGTGAGTAACGGCTCTGAAGAATGACTCAGTTGTCCTTAAACTTGTATGGGCGTTTAAACTTTTTCGTTTTTCATATGCCTAGGCCAAGTTGCCGGGGCTCCGATCAGAAGCATCGCGGGAGACCGCCGTGGTCATCATGAACCACGTCAACCTCATCGAGATACTCAGTAACTATTATGTTAATCCACACGCTCTGATACTTCACTGCACATTATCTGAGACTGCTATATCCATTCACCTATGGATGAGACTGCACTATTAATGTCGACGCCGCCCCTCAGGCTGCCTGATCCAGGAGATGCCAGACGGCTACTCCAGGGTGACGTGGGTGGAGCACGTGGAGGCGGACGACATGATGGTGCACGACCTGTACCGTCCCCTGGTATGCTCTGGGCTGGCGTTCGGCGCACGGCGGTGGGCAGCGGCCCTGGAGCGGCAATGTGAGCGCCTTGCCAGTGCCATGGCCAGTGGCGTCCCGGCAGGGCCTTCCAGTGGTGGAGATGCTGTAGGTGTGGTGACATCAGCGGAGGGACGCCGGAGCATGCTCCGGCTGGCAGAGCGGATGGTCGCAAGCTTCTGCAGTGGTGTGACTGCATCGACGACGCACCAGTGGACTAAGCTGTCAGGCAGCGGCGCAGAGGATGTGCGCGTGATGACGCGCAAGAGCGTGGACGACCCCGGCCGCCCGCCCGGCATCATCCTGAATGCTGCCACCTCCTTCTGGCTTCCTGTGCCCCCGGCGCGTGTCTTTGGCTTCCTCCGGGACGACGCCACCCGCAGCGAGTGGGACATTCTCTCCAACGGCGGAGATGTGCAGGAGATGGCTCATATTGCCAACGGCCGTGACCACGGCAATGCGGTCTCGCTCCTCCGTGTCAACGTAAGTCGATCTCACCTACAGCGCTTGTTTCTTCTTTTGCCTGATTCATTTGAACTGATGATGCATTGATGCCATGGCCATGTCAATCTTGGTGAAGAACGCCAACTCGAACCAAGCAACATGCTAATCCTGCAGGAGTGCTGCACAGATGCAACGGGGTCGTACGTGATCTACGCGCCGGTGGACGTGGTGGCCATGAACGTGGTGCTCAACGGCGGTGACCCAGACTACGTGGCGCTTCTGCCATCAGGGTTCGCCATCCTCCCTGACGGGCCTGGTGCATGTGGTGCGCCACCAGGGTTTTCTGTCCTCCCCGACGGGCCTGGTAGTGCAGGTGGTGGCGGTGGCGGATCGCTCCTCACCATGGCATTCCAGATCCTGGTCGACTCAGTGCCCACTGCCAATTGCCCTGGCAATGGCACAGGGAAAACGAAAAAGTTCAAACGCCCATACAAGCCCAAGGACAACTGAGTCATTCTCCAGAGCCGTTACCCACCGTTAGGAGCAAATGCCGACGGAATGGCGTGAGGGAAAAGAAAAGTTCGAGCGAGGCATGTAGGTGATGATCAACTTTTGAGGGGTACGCAGGAATGTGGCATCTTTTTTAAGGGTACACAGGTAAAAGCCTCGTGAAGTGTCCCCATTCACTCTGGGCGCGATTGGATGCCCGACCCGCACCGTCATTTGACCCATCCCGCATTCTTTGGTATGTTCGTATGTGTTTGGGTGCTCTACTCATATCTTTTTTCTGCTTTCTTCCATGCAGATTTGCTCGTCCATCTCGGACGGCGTCGTCTTCTCAATCCCCACTTCCCTCTCGGTGCAGGCTCGCTCGGTGCTTGGCAGGAACCTTCGCGCCGAGCGCAGGAGATGAGGCCGTCCGGGCCATAAAGCGCGCGCGCGGGTCTCGGCTAGGGTTGCCGCCCTCACTCTTCTCCTCTCCTTCTGCCATAGCTCCGGTGCGAACTCCCGTCTTGCTTCCCATCGACCTCGGTAGCCCTACCGAGAAGACCCTCGCCGGTGGATTTCTCTCGGTCCTCCGGCGCTTGGACGTTATATATGCCACATGTGCTCTTCCCCTCCTCTTTCTTTAGTGTCGATTTTGTTGATTTGTTGGTGGATTTTGCTTGAAATGCCAAGAAATCATGGTTCTTGGTTTTACATCCTCAGATCTGTACGATGCTATACCTGATTTACCTGTTCCTAGCTCAGATCTATATATGATGCTTCGTATTTGGTTTATACCTCATGTTTTGTGTAGATCTTGTATATGCTGATGCTTATTTTGTTGTACAAACTGAGCAAAGTGCTTAGAGGTCAATGATGTTAATTGTGTAACAATATACGCTGGAGGAGCACCCTTTGGTGTGGCAGCCGCGTCTTTCATAGTTCATTTTATGTGATTTTTTGCTTGCTAAGCAGTACACACCCATGTTGCATGCTCCCTTTTTAATGTTGCCCCCTATCCTGTTGGCAGACATGGCATTTGAAGCTATGCGAAGGGCTGCCGCTGCTGTGGTTGTTGCAGTGGTTGCTCGGTTTTTCATATGGTTTAGGAGAAGAGTTGAAGATTCGCGCTCAGTCACCTATGGTCCCTTGGCTGAGAGGGACAAACAAAGGATGAACAACCTTAGATACATCTATGAATCTGATGATGCGCACTGTGTCAACCTTCTTAGAATGAGGAGGGCCTCTTTTTTCCTACTTTGTGACCTTTTCCGTAGTAGAGAGCTTGTCACTGACAGCATACATGCATCTGTTGAAGAACGAGTAGCCATGTTCTTGCATGTTGTTGGTCACAATGAGAGGTTTAGGGTGGTTGACCTTACCTTTAGGAGGTCCACAGAGACAATTAGTAGGTTCTTCCAGAAGATGTTATATGCGGTAGGAGAGTTGATGAATGAATTGATTGTCCCTCCTGCTACCAATGTCCATCCTAGGATCCTTGGGAGCAGAAGGTGGTACCCCTATTTTAAGGTTGGTATCCATAACTTGTCATACATAGGTCTCATGCATATCAGTTTAGTGTCAATGTTCACTTGCACTTATGTTTTTTCAATTAGGACTGCATAGGAGCAATTGATAGTACTCATGTATTAGCTAGAGTGCTTGTGAAGATGCAAGCTACCTTTAGAGGCAGGAAGCACACCATCACACAAAATGTGTTGGCAGCCGTGGACTTTGACCTCAGATTCACCTATGTGCTTGTTGGTTGGAAGGGATCTGCACATGATGCTCTTAACAAAGGGTGATGGATTGTCACTTAGTTGATCTGAGCACTAAAATACCTTGGATTGTCAGTTCATCTGAGACATTTCAGATGCTGTTATTGTTCTTGTAGGAGTTCCTATTTGGCCGATGATGCAAACTATAGCAATCTGATGTGGTTGTGGGTATTATTCCTGTTGTTGCTTTATTGTCTTCTTGTGTTTTCTCATGTCTTTCATCAAATCATGGGATATGTCCATTCCCAAGCAACTGTTGTAGGCATGCCTACCGGATGGCTGGGATGGACGTGTCCCACGCTTCTATGGGAGTCATGAACTTGCCTTAGCAATTTGTGTTCTTATTTGCCACCTGGGATGATTGCAGTTTACATTAGCTGAGGCCTACGTTTTTTTGTGCTTCTGATGTCAACCATTTTTTGACTGAGACTGATACAATTGTGAGATCTTTTTGATGCCTATGAAGATAACAGTGCCAGTTTATGTAATGGATTATGCATATTGATGACCTTGAACTTGTGAGGTACTGGAGCATTGTTTCTTCTATCTTCTGCTTATGATACTCATGGTTGTCATCAAACCATGTGAGACATCCATGCCCAAGCAACAGCTACTCAATTCTGATGATCTGATGGCTAAGCTGGATGCCTCTCATGGTTTCATGCCTGTCATGATCTTGGTTTTCTATTATCTGTTTGAAGTTTGTTGCTGTCTATGTTTCTTAAGCTCCAAGTTCAAGGTCAAATGAAAAGGCAATTAAATCTGAGGCAAATCGATTGAACTACCCCTCGTCTTATCAACATCTTATACTTGCTTTTATGTGTTTTTAAGGAGCAAATGGCTTAGTATGTTGTGTACCGTGGCAGAGTTCCTGGGGTATATGCAACCTGGGCTAGATGCAATGCCTAGGTAACTAGTTTTAAAAACAACAGCTACAAGAGCTTCCCTAACAAAGAAGAGGCGGAAGCATCATACTTAGAGTTCATGGGCTGTGAAGATGATAAAGTTTTTATCAATCCTCCACCAAAGGTGCTCAGGAACAAACCGATATTATTTGTTGTGGCTGTGGTGCAGTCTTTTCTGTTACTGGTACTCCCGTGGTTCGTTCTTGTTCGTTGCTACAACTGTCTGTGATGCTCAAAATGCCATGTCTTGGTACATTGCCTATCGGGGAAAGGAGCCTGGGGTCTATGCCCTAAAATGCTTCCTTACAGTGCTTCGGGTAACAAATGAAGCCCTAAAATACCCTGGTTACTGGCTATTGCTTTGGTTCGGTCGTTTATTTTGATGATGCTTGAGTTTTTCATTGATAAGCATTGTTGTAGGTGTCTCTAATTGTTTCATATTGCCTGTAATGGTTTCAAAATGCCATGAAAATGTGTGGAGACAATGGTCTTGTGAGGAACTGTGACTTTTGGGCAACCAGTCACGCCCTTGTTCATGATTTGCTGGGAGTACTATTGTCATGTTTATGTTATTAGAAGCGCCAAGGTCATTGTCAATCTTGTTGAACTAAGGCAAAATTATCTATGTTTTCTTCTATTCTTCTTCATTCTGCAATACCTGGTGGTAACCACACCAAAACGGTACATGGATGCTCGCACCCCAGGCCATGCGCCTAACCAAACACAAACGCTACCACCATTTCAAACGGCAAAACGATCCATGGGGGCAACCAAACAGAATCATTGTCATCCAGGACAGCTAAACTAAAGCAAACAAAAAAAGATGGATGAATACTTTGATGCCGGCTCGGAAGAGCATGGACAGGGCCACCATCCCGGACCGTCGACGTCGGAGCAACCAATCACCCTCTGTTTGTTCAGTTGGCTCACTCACAGTACCACTGCAGGTCTGGAGGACTGGAGCGGCACGTGTGCGTCAGGTGAAGTCTGTCTGACGCCGGCCGGAGCGGCCTGGCCTGTCCAGAGGTTCACTTGTCACCACAAACTTTGCACATATATAAGCAGACGGCACGCGGTATCACAATTCTAAATTTCTACAGTGATTGTTATTTGATTATTAATAACAACCTGGATAGAGAGTAAAAAATCTGGATTTCAAGTATGGCAGATAATGAGATAATTGCACAAGTAGCACTCATTATTTGCCACCATCTGCAAGGAAATCAAGATGAAAGGACGACCTCAATTCCACACAGTATAAGTTGCTAGCCATTAAGTCATGTATCATGTATCAACCAGCTGTTTTGTCCATCATACGAGTTTCCTTTCGAAATAAATATGACAAAACTGTCCTCCTAAGGTAGTTAACACTTAACACGGGAAGTACACACTGATAAAACGTGAATTTAAATGAGCTTCTTCTTCCGGAAGAACCCTTGAAGGTGCCACAACTGCAGCACAGAGACAGCAACGCAGACTCCCAGTGACAGGAAGCTGAACCAGGCAACCCTTGAATTTGTTTTCTCACTCACTGTTCGCATATCCGCTTCCCTGTATCGATAACATTCAAGAATGCATCAGACCATGCACCAGCTGCAGATAATCTCCCTAACTAGGTTGCAATTGGATCAATATGACAACGAGTTCCATGCAGTGACCCTTTTTTTTTGCTGAAAAAGAGAGCAGAGAAGTTCATGTAAAAAATAAAAAGAGACAGGTAGCTTACCTTGCTTTGAGATACAGCAAGTTGTGATGGATGGACTCAACTGCAGCTTCAAGTTTCCTAAGCTCTAGTTCTACACCCTGAACAAGGAATCCATATCGCAAATAGTCAGAAACCAAGAGCAAAGCATTACTGGAGTGCAGGTGGACTTCAATTAGACTGTATTTAGCCACACCTCAATTTTCTCTTTCTTAGCAATAGTATCCCAGTCCTTTGCAGCAATCCCTATCCTCCAATCAAGATTTAGAGATGTTCCTGATCCTTTCTCCACACTGTCTATCCAGAAACATGCAAGGTAGTTTCCAGCTTCTGTAGTTGTGAAAGCAAACTGACCCGTTGTAGCATTTTCATTATGATGTACAGTATTTCCATAGGGTGATGTAACCTAATAAACAAAAAACAAACATTTAGGGGTATTGAGGATATCAAAGGAAAAAAAACCCTCTGACGCATTCAACAAGCCGCATTGCTTAGATATGTTCAACAAGAATATGGACATGTCTGATGTCTCCATTATTACAAGATAAAATATGCAAGGGAAACCATTCCAGGAAGTCCCTTTCTCAGTGGAATCATGAATACCTACCCACTTAAAAGACATACGTACAAGTTTTGAAA